TAGAATTGGAGACTAATGTGTATTGCTAACAACTCACGAGGGGATAAATTTGCAAGAAAAAACAAATCACAACAGTTAACAAAAAAGCTTTCCTCAACTTTCAAGTGAATGCAAATTTTTCCACAATGGAACCTTGAGCTATTTTTGCACTAAAATTCTACCTTCTGACCCTTGAATATACTGAGGGAGGCTGTGCTTTCCAAAAGTCACGTGCTGGGAATCAGGGTGTCCAGAGTTCTAATTCCACCTAAATGAGAGCAGATTTCATAAATTGCACTTCTGTAGCTCTTCATAAAACATTTTGTGTGCATAGCACATTATCCCTATTTTTACAATGAGGAAGCAGATGCAGAAAAAGTAAATGGACCCACTCACATAATAGCACAGATGAATCTGCATCAGCAGGTCCGTGCAAGGGAAGAGGAAGTCCTGTCCTTTCCCATCCAGGCCAGGACTAGCAGCCCCTGGCTGGGGTGCTCCCAGCAGCAGCACAGGGGAGATCAGACCCACCTCCAGAAACCTCCCCCAGCTTCAGGAAGTTGCACGGCTTCTGAGAGCTCAACTCTGAAGGCAGCGCAGACGTGAGGGTGGCAATCCTGTGACCCCCTCCCCCCCACAGCTTTGTGACATCCCTGGTTCCTCCCTCCCCCGACCTTTTTTTGGGTCGGGACTCCCACAGTTACAACATTGTGAGCTTAATGTGAAACTGAGCAATTTTAAAGCCCTCTGGCCATGAAATTAACCAAAATGGACTGTGAATTTGGTAAGGCCCTACCTATACGTGTCGCTGTGGAAGTCTTAACCCTGTACACCTTCAGATTTTTGCTCATGGTCGAAGACTTTAAACTGGGGAGAGGATCAAAGATTAAATAAATAGACTTGTCTGGGGGGCAGCGAGAGCTAGTTGTTTAAGTACCAGATCAGGCTCAGGAGACCAGTTCAGTTAATAATTGGCAGAGGTCAGGCCGCTAAGTCAAAACCTCTGAGCCTCAGGTTGCTTATATGTAAGATGGTTGTTTTCATGTTTTACTTACTACAAAATGTTAGAGTGTGTTTCCCAAGTGCAAAGTACTATAAAATGCCAGCCAGTGGTAGAGGGGAAATAGAACTCAGGACTAGAGCTGGTCGGAGAATCAATGGAACCATATTCTGTTGGAATATGCAGTTCCATTGAAACTGAAACGCTTCATGATATGCTTGATTTTGCCAAAAATTCATTTCAGGAGGGGAAAGAAAAAAATTCTGAATGTCAAAACAGGATGTTTTGAACATTTTTAGGACAAAATATTTTGATACGACCTTTTTAGTTTTGTAAAGGAGAATGCTGAAATTTTCAAGTTTCATTCTGATTTGAACTGAAATCTTAAAATAGTCTGTAAAACAGAATTTCCATCCTCAACACGAGGCTCTACTCAGAACTTCAGTTGCCTGTCGGTGCTAAATTCACTAAACCATGCAATTCTGCGCAGGGGTGGAGGTGGACTACCCTCCAACTCTCTTCTTCCCAAAGGTCAAAATTAGAGCAAAAGTTTCACATTCCCTCCCTCACTCCAACACCACCTTAAAAGGTATTTAAAAAAAAACATTTTCTATGGAGGGGATTTCAAGATCTTGTAAAACAACTCCTGCCTCACAGAAGTTTCCTTTGAAACAGGGTTTTGTTTTATTAATTAAAAATGTTGATTCTAAATAGTCAACACTGATTTATTTACTTTTTGGACTTCATAAATTTGGAGCATGAACAGGGACAAGTCAGTTTCACTTGTGTATAGCTCATCTGATTTCACTTTCTAGCTCTTGTAGTAGAGTATGTGGGTTGCAAATATTGCAGGTTAGGATTTCAATACCAATCATCTTAATAGTTTAAATCCATGGAATCACTTTGACCTAACATTTGTAAAAAAGCTTAGAAAATTTATATGTTCACCTTAGATTCACCTGCCAATGTTCCCTTAAAAAAAAATCAAACAAACAAAACCACACACTATGCCCTAGGTAACAGATGGAGACATGGCACAAAAACTTAACAGGTTTATTCTGGAATCTACTACAAATGCCAAAAGGTAAGTAGAAGAATGTTCTATTCCTCATCTCTCCCAATAGGTGTCACCGTATTCTCTACATGTAACCTGAAAAGGACAATTTAAAAAAAAAAGTTTGTCTTTTTTGTTTCTTCGTAATGTATGAACACTTGAAGGGAGGAGACTTTTCCTTCTTGTTTGTCTTTCACATTAGAAATGTCACTATCAAAACTGATCTCCGCTTGGTTTTCTGGCAGACCTGCTGTATACATTAAGTCCATGTGTGCTTTTACACATTTTTTGAAGCTTCAACAAAAGATACCTACAGGTATTTCCAAAATGTTAATCCCTGATATTAACACCTGTTTCAACAAAAACACTCACTCTCTCAAAACATGATGTCATCATTACCCTAGTTCTCCAGCCATCAGAGAGCTTCCAGGGTAGACAAGACCTAATTTCTCATGTGGTAACAGATTTTTTTAAAAATGCAAATAAGCTTTATACATCATAAAGCACCAGAGGAGACCATGCGCTTTGCTGGTCACTTAAGACTTAGATTCACTGCAGTAGTCATATTGCTATTTTTAAGGGAAAGTGGCGGGGTAATTATTTTCACTATTATAGCTTAGGGGATTGATAAGATATACTAGAGTGAACACTCTCTTGCTTCTCTGCCAGATAGCATACAGGGTCACAATGTTTACACCTCAAAAACACTTTTGCTGACAGCCACCTTCCCTACATCCAAACACACTTTACTAGAATAACTATGTCAGCCAAAGGAAATTTATAAGCGTTAAAGTAAATAAAACTGGAATTATGCCCCCTCCCAACTCCTGACACATTAACAAATCCGGGGTCACATTTTTGATGTTCTCTACACTCTGCTTACTGAACTCTCCAATCTGTCACTGGATTGCTTTTATTTTTTACTAATCTACCAGCAATTTAAAGAGCTTTACCAGACAAGCAATAAGATGTGTACTTCATCTTCATGTTTCTACATGACATCGGCCAGGAAACTACCTGGTAAACTGCAGTCATCTGACCAAGTTCTTTTTCACATATTATATTATTTATGGCAGTAGGTTTCGTCTAGTTCACATTGTTCTGGTCACCGTCTCACTCATTTCCACTACTGCTTAGAAATAAATTTTAGTTTTGGATTCATTAGTTACCAGCTATTCAAAATCTCATCCTTTTTTAATAGAATTTGGCTCCAATATTCCTGTAAGGGAATAGATACTTAAATGTAAAATAATTAGTCTTCCACTTAAGCCTCGCAAAAAAAATAATAATAATCAAAGTAAGCCTCTAATGTGTTTTGATTGTAAATAAAAATTATTCAGGTTTTCTTCTCATATTTGAGAGTGCTGCTGAACTAAATTAAATGCTAGTCCTGCCAAATTGTTGAAAACTGCAAATAAGGATATATTTAATTCTCCCAGCTTTAATTTCTAATTACTTTATCACTCCTTAACTAGCTGAGAACTTGACATATGGCAGGGTGCAAATCATTAAGTGATATGCCAATCACAGTTCTTGTATATGTCAAGTTAAATATTTCCACATTTCAGTGTAACAATCTAGAGTGGGATTTTTTGTAAGTGTTTTTTAGTTGCACCTTTCCAGCAATTTAGAAGTAGTTCTTCAGTTCATAATGAGAAAAAGCAGCTTGTTTGATTCTGTCAAAAGAATCTGAAATCTCCACTTCCTGTACAGAAGTTGCTGCCATTTATGGGTTTGCTAAGGATGCCTGCATTCTGAGTATACAAGCTGCCTTCTCTCCCCCCCCCCCCCCAAGAGTGACCTTTTCATTATCAATTCATTGATCTGAAGCCACCCTCCCCACCAAAAATGCTACTTTTACCATTGGCAAGTCATATGGCACCTTCAGATTGATTCTAGAAAAAGTGTTTTTCCAACAAATAAGCAATATTTTTGATGCTGTGTTAAGCAATATCTGCTTAAAACCACCACCACCACCAAAATATGTTTGGAGACAATTCTGTAATGCTTTGAAATTCACCATATGCATTTGAGGATCACAGAGTAGTTTCCAAACACTGGATTGCCAGGCACTGAACTCAGCATTGCAGCATGTCATTTTCAAACAACTTTATTAAGCTTAGTCAGAATCCAATCTCCAAGTCTCATGCAGCAGACAGGTCAGCATGAAGCAGGGTTTCAAATGAAAACTAACTTTAAATAACCAACAGTGGGGCAGTAAAAAGTTTACAGGTGTTCACATGTGGAGAGGTGAGCAACTCGTAAAGCGATTAGTTCTCATTAAATGATGGATGAGCAAAAAGTTTGAGGCCCTGGCTTAACTCGGATACACTCAAACACGTGTGGGCACACCTTTCCATATACCTTAACTCAGTGGCTCTCAACCTTTCCAAACTATTGTACCCCTTTCAGGAGTCTAATTTGTCTTGTGAACCTCCCTCCCCCTCCCCCGCAAGCTTCAGCAAAACTACTTGCTTACAAATCAGACATAAAAATACAAAAAGGTGCCACAGCACACTATTACTGAAAAATTGCTGACTTTCTCATTTTTACTGTATAATTATAAATCAATTGGAATATAAATATTGTACTTACATTTCAGTGTATCGTATATAGAGCAGTATAAACAAGTCATTGTATGAAATCTCAGTTTGTACTGACTTTGCTGGTGCTTTTTAATGTAGCCTGTTGTAAAACTAGGCAAATATCTAGATGAGTTGATGTACCCCCAGAAGACCTCTGCGTACCCCTGATTGAGAACCACTGCCTTAACCCATCTCTCTTTGAATGTGTCTTCTTCTAACGCCTCCCCCATCTCATCCTTCTTTCAACTACACTCCCCTTAGTACAGAAGTCTCAGGCTGATCTCCACTGCCTAGACCTATGGATTCTCTCTTTGCTCCCTCCCCCCACTAATTTCTGTTTATCCTCAGAGCCTGACCGCTTGCCCTCTGACCTCCAATGGATTCCTTACATTTGTAGAGATGGTGTGTGGTGTGCCAATTTAGCACTTTTTGCTTCTCTGAGATCTTCAGATCTCAGACCCTTTAGTGAATCTCATTTTAAGGGCACTCCCTAATGCATTATCATCGCTCATCCCCAGGGAAGTCCAGGAGACTTATTTCAGAAAGGTCTGGCCAGTACAGACTGCAACAGCCCTATTGTGGACATTGTAGTATATTAAGGAAACAGATGCCTATTGTAGGAAAAATATACCCTGGACTGGGTGTGGAAAGGCAGGACCGGCTCCAGGGTTTTTGCCGCCCCAAGCAATGGGGGAGGGGGGGGGGGAGCTGCAATTGCGATCGGCAGCACTCTGGCGGCAGCTCCACCGTGCCGAAGAAAGTGGTGGTAATTCGGTAGCAGGTGCTTCCCTCCGAAAGAGACCCGCCTCTGAATTGCCGCAGAACAGCCCGACGTGACGCCCCTTCCCCTTGGACGCCCCAAGCACCTGCTTGCTGGGGTGGTACCTGGAGCCGGCCCTGTGGAAAGGATACCTATCCTAGCCTTCAAAGTAAAGATCCGTTATTTTACGTTTGGGGGACTTATGTTTTCTGAATCAGTCTGCCCATTCGTATCTCTCACTGGAACACATTTGCACTGCCCTTATAATCGCACACAATCACTGTATCAACAAGTGTCATTCAAAAAAAAGCTACCTGCACAGAACAAACAAGACAGCCTAGCTCCAATGGAGAAAAAGATATCTACCATTCTCAAATTCCATGTTACAAACTGCGTGAGGATAGAGAGACAGGTATTATAACAACACTTCCCACGCCAGTTAGGGAAAAAACACAAACATTTGCAACACATTCATCCACTTCTATTTCAGCTAGTAAGAACATTCTCTTTGTTATTGACAGAGTTCATAAAAATATTCCCAACACAAATAATTCACTTGAGGAAGAGTATCTGTTCTGAGAATCAAAGCAATCCAAGAAAAACTGAAAAATTTCCCAGTGTTCAAGAGCTTTTAACTGAGTGGAATATATTGAAGTTTGATAAGTCCTACACGTTAACAGATTTTAACCACTTAAGTATTTTGCCCATCTACAAGAATTCAGAAAGGGTATAAATTTGGACCTGTGATGATAGTAAGTCAAAAGATCAGTTTTATCATAACTCTAAAGCCTAAGATTAAACCATGTACATGACATTTTTATTAAATTTGGCAAGGAGATAAAGGTTAAGCCAAGTAGGATATTATTCACATGCTGAGAAGTGTCATGGTTTGTATTTCCCAATTTTCCTGGGCCACCACTGTTCTCTTACTGGGCAAATGATTCCATGAAAATAGCAAGAGCCATCCTACCTGGTATACCTGCATAATAAAAGTAGACTAGTTCCACATGATCTAGATGCATATAATCTGCAAAAAAGGGACCCTTCCTAAGTATTTTCAATTTCAATACAATTGACAATATTTACTAAAGGCTCCTTTTTCTGTTTTATCATTAGGGATACATAGATATGATTTTTGCTGTTTAGGCATCAATCTGTTCCCACTTCTTGTTCCTCCACTTGCAGTCATGAGCTTTTTCACTATATAAATCACCTCTACAAATAGTAGTGAAGTCTCAGAGAAGAGGATTTCAGATGAATAAGCAACAGGACTTGCTTGCAGATGAGTTTCTAACAAAGAATGAGCCTGTTTTTTATGCATGGTACAGAGCGTGTGTTTTAGCATAGTACTCAATAAAACTTGTATTTAGAGACTGCAAGGAAGGAGGTACTGAGTCTAATACCCAAGACATTCACGTTTACTTTTGACAAATCTGACATCAGAACAATATTTGCTGTGCAGACTCTAATAAAGTTTACTATAAAAAGGGGTCCAGGTCAGATTTTCTGAAATTTTGCATAAAAGGCAAAACATCTAACCTATACATTTACTTGTATATTTTCCCCCTTCTCTATTCATTTCAACCAAACCACACCCCTAAGATTTCACTATTGAAAACAACAAATAGCTCTTCAACACAACACAGTTTAGACTGAATAACATGACGGCATAACATGCAGAAGGGTAGCGAGTTGTATTCTGAGTGGCATATAGCACAGTGGAAATAGTAGAGTAGCTTAGCTTGTATTCCTCTGGTAGAGCACAAGCAGCTGTACATCCAATAGATAACAGTTTTACTGGCTACTTTCAAAGCGTGAAGATAGCCATGGAAACAAACAATAGAAGATTTAGTAGCTACACACATTTTCTTTCTGTAGCCAAGAGTTTTTCAGGAGGAAGGAGAGAGAGAAGGGACCTGGAATGTGATTCAGATCCCACACTGGCAATGAAAGGGTTAAGGGGCATTGGTGAGCTCAATTAGTAACTACAGGGCATGTCAGGCTCAATTAAGGCTAATATGTAGGGGAGGAGCTTTGTGGTTAATATGAAGAGAAGGTTTCAGGGCAAAGGGGGAAAGAAGCCCAGGAGAGTAGGCCCTGGTGTTCTCTCCTGAGAAAGAAATTCTGAATTGGTCAGGAGAGAGACTAAAACTACAGGGGTGGATAAAAGGGCAAGAACCAGATGCTCTGGGCAGTGTTGCTCACTACCAGAGCCAGAAAGGAGTTGGGCAAAAGGGCCTAGGAACAGACCAAGATAGGAAGAACCCAGGGACAGCAAGGAGTTGGAAGGAGCAGACCTTGGGACCAGGACCAGGACCAGAACCCAGAGCGGTTGGGGGGACCTGTGTTCCTCTCCCCAAACCAAGGAAGGTGGTGTGAAACCCCCTGATGCAAGATATAAAGACTACTGGAAGCCTTGAGACAAGAAAGTGGAAGGACCATTGGACTCAGGGTTAGGGGCCAAAAACCCAACATAAGGTCATTGAATTCCGTTTGTCAGTTGTACTTTGTTACCCTAGTGGGGAGAGATTAAGTGACCTGCCAGTGGGCTGAGTCCTGAGAATAAGCAGACCTCTGCAGGGCCAAGGAGGCTATAAGGAGGGAGCGACAGAGGAGGTGATCCTGCCAAGCCCAGCCATGAGAGGGCATGCAGTGGCTGGTGAGTCACTGCTCTGCAGGATCTGTCCATATTAGTATTTAACTAATACTTGTTTTATTTATATTTGTTATAGTGCCTAAAACACTTGAGGACTTTTGTAGGTACAATCTGGGCTAATTAGATTGTGAAAATGAAATATTTCAACTGACTCAGTGGCCTCCATAAATGGATCTCATTACAGAGGAGGAAGCTGAACCTCCTTCTAGCACAAAGAGAAACAAAAATTCTGCTTTGGTAGAGTCTATACTGATAAGCATATCAGATACCTTTAATGGCTATCCATTGTGTAAATTAATAGTGATCTACTCTTGGAGAGCGAGATGAAGAGAAGAATCTCTAATCTCTAAAATGGAGAACAGAAATTGAAATTTAAAACAAAGAAACTGAGACTTAGCCCAATCATCACAGGAGAAAAATTCTTAATAGCTGAAATAGTCTATTTTCTTATACCTCGCTTTTTGTTAGTGTTTATGAATCATTTTCAATTAAAGTATAAGACTATGAGAAAAAGCAAACCAGTGCACCCAGCCAACCAGCATCCTGAAGTCAGCAACAAGTTAATTGCAGTGCTACAAAGCACAACTCTAACCTGCTGTTTATGAATTTTGTGTGGTGTGCTGGCTGAAAGGGTTTATATTGCTTAATAAAGCCATCCCTGTGCTTCACAGGCAGACTTGCAGCTAGTCAGTGAGGTATGGTCTGTTTGAAAAATGTAAATAAGAAAAGGGAGGTAGTAAATTTCTAATACATAGCCGGTATAAAAACCATCAATAATCAAAACAAGGTTTCTTTGGGATATGGTATTTCTATAATTTGTGCTAAATTTAGATTTAATTGTAGAATTAAATCTAAGTAGTTTTACAAGAGTGTCTCTTTTACAACTGAATTTTAGCAGTAAAGCTTTAGAGATGTTCTTACCATGCTTCAGATGTAGGCAGCTGTCATTCTGGGACCTGTACCTGTAGAAGATTGTTGTTCTTTAACAAATTTCCATTGAAGAGTTTTTGCACATTCCAAATAAGTTTTATGCTACAATATTATATAATTTGTTTTGTTCTTTTTTATGGTTCTTATACCAGCCATTTTGTTGTGTTTTTTTTTTAATATAATTTTCAAGTAAAAGGAAAAGAAAAGAAGAGACCTCACTGATGCTTTGAGCCAGCCTATAAGGCAGCTGTTAGTGTACAAAAACTAAAATGTAAAAACACAATGGAAATACTACAGTGGCTACTCAAGTTACATGAAAGGATTATTTAGTGTCAAATAATCACAGGTCTGACACGCTTTCTTTGGTCTAAGTATGATAGGGAAATGGGCATAAAGGAAATAAACAAGCAAAACAAGACAATAAAGGTGGCAATGGATACGTTCATCCAAAGTGAAAATACTCAGTTTCTATCTGAGAGTGAAAATGCATATTTGATGCATGTTTAGTCACTCACATTCAAAATAAAATATTTTAAATATAGAAAGAGGTGAAGCAAGTGAAAGTGTTCTGAAATGGAAGTGTGTGTGTGTGTGTGTGTGTGTGATTCCACATATGACATGTGGAAAGTAAAACAAAAACAAAACAAGAGAGCCAGCCACTCTCAACATACCTGCCGTTGACTCCTGTAGCTTCTCTCTCTTCCTCTTCTTTTTCTTCCCCTGGAAGATAGATGATTTTACCATACCATTCTATATATAGACTTATTTTTCCTTTGTCACCTCCACCCAATAACCATTAAATGAATTCTTTGCATAACACCCCAAATCTGAGGATATTGTGAGAAAGTGGCATTGAAGCAATAGCATTTTCAATGTAGTTAAAACCCATCTCACATTTCTTCCAGCAGTTCCAACTGTAGCCACAGTTTTACCCTTTTCATGCTTATGGAGAAAAATGTGCAAGGGCCTTAGAATGCATTTTTTAAAAATGTGACAAGCCTAGACACCTAGCATTTGCCAGCATTATTTCATCCCAGGTAGACCACCAGCAGAAATATTTTCTTGCTGATGTAGAAACACTAGGTCAGTACCATAATTTACAGTCCTAAGATGCCTTCATATATCATCTTAGAATCAAATAGGAAAGAAACAGTCATGTGACACCAACAGAAGGGTTTTCCAGGTGCAGAAATAGTTGGCAACTAGACTTGCCCTCCTGTTATAAATCACTCTGAAAGTTTGTTCCAGTACGTTAACTGTAAAAATCAAGGCCCTGTGTGTCATGAGGCTGAACAATTTGCCATAGAAGCCACCCTTGGAGCAGAGTTGCATTCCAAAAACTAAATTTTCATTAAAAATTGCTAGTCCTTGTGCTTGCAAAGATAACCTTTTAAAAACCATGAACCAAGTATAAAATCCACGCAGCACGGTCTCTGAGTTTGCAAAGAGCCTGAAACAATAGCTCAAAGAGCCATGAACTGCCCCACTCATCTAGATGTGGGGTTAACTGAGGGCATGTCTACATTTACCTCTGGAGCGATCAATCCAGTGAAGGCGATCAATCTAATGAAGACGCGATAAATCGACTGCCGAGCGCTCTCCCGTCGACTCTGGTACTCCACCGGAGCGAGAAGCGTACGCGGAGTCAATGGGGGAGTGTCAGCAGTCGACCTACCACAGCGAAGACACTGCGGTAAGTAGCTCTAAGTATGTTGACTTCAGCTACGTTATTCATGTAGCTGAAGTTGCATAACTTAGATCGATCCCCCCTCCCCCATCCCAGTGTAGACCAGGACTGAGGAATGTTACCTCTGAAACATAATGACATGCATTTATATGCACCATAATAGATTGAGTTATTTTCCAACAGTATGACATTCTGTCTGGAACAACTTTTGTTACATAAGTGCATCCAACATTTGTGTTCTTGGCATTGAGAGAAAGGATTACTCCTTTGAAGCTCTCCACGATCATGCCAGTCAAATTGTGGTCATCAGTATTGCTGTTCACTCACTAATGCCATTTCAATTGGCTACAGTATTCTTATACTCACTGTCAAACCGCTGGATGTAAGTGTTCCATCTCCTAGTCAGCTACATTTCAGTGATGGACAAAATACTTTATTATATAGATTAATTCTGAAGGATCCCAAAGCAAAGATGCTATACATAAATACAAGGTAATATGTAGTTTTCAATTCAAATTAGGGGAATCTAAAGTAAAACAGAGTTATCTTCTAATTGAGGTAATCTGCTATAAAAAGTTGTACTACTTTTAACCAGGGCTAATTTGCTTTCTGCTACCTGATGGATTGATAAGTAGTGGCATAATATTAAAAAAAGGTAGGTATAGCTAGTCCATCTGAATAGGGACATATTTACACGGAACCCCTTCTTGCAAATCAGGTCTTGTCTACCCTTGAAATGCTACAATGGCACAGCTTCGCTGCTGCACCATGTAACGCTTCAGTGTAGACACTACCTATGCAGACAGGAAGGGTTCTCCTGGTGGCGTATTTCCCCAAGAGGTGGTAGCTTAGTCAATGGAAGAATTCTTCTGTCGACTTAGCACTGTCTACATCGGGGTGGGGCGGGGGCTGGGGTCGGCTTAACTACATTGCTCAGGGATGTGGATTTTTACACCCCAGAGCGATTTACTTGAGTTGACCTAACTTTTTAGCATAGTTCAGGCCTAAAACATTTTAAAAATCAACTATAGGATACCAGAAGCCTGCTTGGAATATATTGAGTTCAAATGCAGTTTTTGTTTACCATATTACTGATGAGTGGCACTGTAAAACTCTCATGTTAATAGGTAAAGTGGTCAGCCAAAAGGATTAGTGAACAACTCCTGATTTGTATCAGATCCTTCATTCAAGTATCTCAAAGCACTTTTGCAGACACTAAATTCCAAATACACATATGGTAGGTATATCTACTTCACATGTGTAAACAAAGGCACAAAATGTTAGATTATTTGCCCAGGAGCACAATTTTTTTAGCCACTGAATGCAACAGAATGGTTAAGGATAGGCCATAAAGACTTTAGATGCGACCAGAACTCCTGCCTTCCTTTAACGCTACATGAGCACTTACGTGACCACACGCCAGTCATGCCAACCCATGCAGTAAAAGAATGTGTCAGGAGTTAACCGTTTCCCTCTTCAGATATGAAAGAGGGCAGGGTCTCATCTGTGATCTTTTACAAAGCTTCAATTTTTAGCAAGGCCCCCACTTTTAGCTTCTGTTGGCCATAGCCCATTCTAACTGCCATCTCTACATCCTTCAGTGGCGTTTCTTTCTTGCCCTACATTGCTATCAAAACTCTGGTCTTCTAAACCTCCTTGGGATGATGAGGAAAAGTAAGTCTGTGATCACATGATGACCCAGCTAGTATTCGTTAAGTGTCTGTTACCAAACATTATGCCAGTTGCCACACAGCACTCTGCCAATCCTGGCCTGCATCACTCCTGATGTTCATCTCCTTGCCTGTCCTCAGCAGAGCACCAATAGCACCAGATAACTGGATATGAATAAACTTCCAGAGGCTAGATCAAGACCAAACACTTAACTTGTGAGCAAAACCAAAACTTCAAGGGCTCCAAAGGCACATCAGCACCTGTGCCACCTATACCTCTAGAGAGAGTGCCTCTTTACAGAGCAGTTGTCATGATGCAACATGCAGTTTGGGAATATCGGAGAGCAAGACCCCTTTTTTGTTTGACCCTGCCATCTAAGGTGAAGTTATGAATACACTGAAGTATTAAGATAGATGAAAACTACTTGAAATTAGATCAGAAAATTCGGGAAAAGCTAGTTGTCAGCATTCCCCAAAAATGGTATTAAATTCTGGCAGCTCAGACATTGTTACGTTAACATTATTTTTTTGGGTCTCCCGTAATGGTGTTATCAAATGACAGAAGTAGTTTTGCTAGCAATTTCCCCCTGTTTACTGACGAGGATCCCAATACAATGTCTTTTCAAGAATACCATGAGAAATTTTTTTTGCCAAGGATCTTGTCACCTTAAACAATGCACTTGTGAAATGTTCCTTCTCATGAGATTTCTGAGAGAGCCCAAATAAAACAAAAGCATCACACGGGGAAGGGGCGGGAGGAGGGGAGGAGTATGTTGTGTAAAACTCAGCCACCAGTACATTAATATCCCCAAAACATAGTAACATTCAAGGGTATTTATACCTCATGTACTAGATGTGTATATTGACCAGTCTAAAGTTCAATTCAAACATAACCAGGGAAAGTGACCATTTAAAAAATGTGAATCACTGTTGAAGCAATTTATTTTAAGCCATAAACTGCTCTCTGCTGGGCTGTTCTGCTCATCACCTCTGCAACACAGAACTGTATTCTTCTAAGAGAAGAGAAAAAGGTACTGCAACCTTGTGTCCAAGAGCATACTGTATCATATGCTGTGTCCATCATATGCATGCACCCAGAGAAGTGTGATAGAGTACTAAACAAAACAGTTGGTGACACCAAAAACAGGAGTGCCCTTATTTGCAATATCAAAAATACCCAAGAGAGTCTCAACATGGCACTTCTGCCTCACTGTCAGAATGTAATGGCTAGCACAGGGGTCGGCAACCTTTTAGAAGTGGTGTGCCGAGTCTTCATTTATTCACTCTAATTTAAGATTTCACGTGCCAGTAATACATTTTAATGTTTTTAGAAGGTCTCTTTCTATAAGTCTATAATATATAGCTAAACTATTGTTGTATGTAAAGTAAATAAGGTTTTTAAAATGTTTAAGAAGCTTCATTTAAAATTAAATTAAAATGCAGAGCCCCCCGGTCCCGGTGGCCAGGACCCAGGCAGTGTGAGTGCCACTGAAAATCAGCTCGCGTGCCGCCTTCGGCACATGTGCCATAGGTTGCCTACCCCTGGGCTAGCAGCATGCTCTGATTTGGGCTTGAAAATAATGCCGACCGAGAGTCATTAATCTGGAGGTGTTGCACTGAAGATAGACATCAAACCCAACTTCCCTATAGTCTCCCCTATATCTTGTAGTTGCCCAGGTTGAAAGGATGAGTGTATTAGGTTAACTAGTTTATTGCCAGCATTTCCTCACACAGGTGCTGGTTCTCCTACCCAAGGCACTGTTACAGATATTGCCTAGCTCTCTGGTTCATCTATGGAGTATTGCTGGGCTGGCCATGCAACAGAACAGGGAGCCTGATGCAGCTGCAACTTGGAATATTCCGTAAGAGGAGAGTTCTGTGGTGAGGTGCACAAATACCATGGTGATGAGTGGCACAGAACAGCCTATTAATAGGTGGAACAGGTCAATCTCTTACTGTAGACAGGGCTTACCAGAATTAATAAGTGTGCGTTAACATAGCTGGGAGTGGGAGTCAGGTGGGAACAAGCCATTTATTTTGGTAAAGATAATAGCCCTGAAGCCACTTGACCTGACTAACACCCTCACTGCTAAGAATCCCTCCCCGCCCCCCCGAGTTTAACTCACAAATAAAAAAATACCCTAAGAAAAACTGGTTTATAATGAAAACTGTAGCTGCCATGGGCTCTCTTAGGTATTTGTTTTCAGTTGACTCAAAACAGCTGGAGTGCTTTATTTTGCGATTTTCTGGTGTTTTTCAGTCTGTGTGGGTTTTTATTTATAGGAAGATTTCAAATTCAAAACGTGGCCAATGTTTAGACACAAAAAAGTCAAAACAAAACATTTTTTCTTTTGAAATTCTTCTGTTTTTTCTTGTTGAAAATCTGAGTCAAATTCAACCTGAATTCACAAATAGACTTTTTTAGTGCTCCAAAAACTAATAATAATAATAAAAAAAGCAGCTTTAACTCCAGTACCATAGGAGCAAAGCATCACACAATCATTAGCATATTTATTCTCCCAACACCTATAAGATAGTGTAATAAAGTGCATTTCTCTAAGTGACCAAGATCCCAGGTTGCAGGGAAGAAATTAAACCCTGGTCTCTCAAGTTGGAGGCTAGGATGCTGCTTCTTACAGAATCACAAGCTTCATGTTTTGACCCGTTACATTTGACCAGGTCACATTTTGACCTGTTATAGCAGTTACAAGCACAGACATACTATGAAATTAAGTTTTGAGCCTCCTTTTCAGCAATTAATGGGCGATAGATCAGTTTGGATAAGCCTTCATGATGTATAACAGATTCAAAAGGCTACACTTTCAGAGCAGCAGATTGATATTTAATTTAGGGTTACCATACGTCCGGATTTTCCCGGACATGTCCGGCTTTTTGGGCATCAAATCCCCGTCTGGGGGGAAATCCCAAAAAGCCGAACATGTCCGGGAAAATAGGGAGGGGCCGGCGCCGCTGGGTGCTGGGCCAGGGGCGCTCGGCCGGGGGCCGGGCCCGGGGCCGGCACCCCAGGAGCCGAGCCAGGCTGGAGACGCTGGGGCCTGGGGCCGGCCGCCGGAGGGAGCCGCTCGGTTGGGGGGGCCAGACTGGGCCGCGCCTCCTCCTCCCCCCCCACCCCAGCCTTACC